TGGAATGTTTTAAATCATCATAAAACACGATTAAATTTGTTTAAATATAATACCAACGAGTGTGATAATGATTAATAATAAAATAAAAGAAACAATATTTGTTCAAAAAAAAAGTATTGTAAAAATCTTGCAGAAATATTTTTCATTCAATCACGGTTGGTTTAAAAAAAAAAAAAAGAAACTAAATACTACTTGTATACTAGGATGTGCGAAAATAAAAAAAATAAAAAACTCTAGCAAAAAGCTTATAAATATTAAAACGAAAAATCGTAAACCGGTACCGCAGAGTGTTAAACATAATAGCAAACGTGGGTGAATTTTATGCGTTGATGGAACTCGTGCATTCATCTATAAGTCCGTTGAAGAGATTAATCGGCTGATAAGTATGATGAAAGGGTTACGTGATCGTTAATACGAGCTGTGATATTTGCGAAAGAACAACACAAGTTTTAATTAACCAAATCCCCCCACCCATATACTTCATTTTGATTTGCTTCTTTTTTTTTATTTGTATTTTCGCGCGGTAATGAAAAGGGAATGGGTGTGGGGTGGACGATTCGTTGTTGTCTTTGTTTTAAAATTTGTTTCCTTTTCTATCTTTCTTATTTGTAGCTGATCTTTGAACAAGTTTCTCTTTCTCTTTTTCCAAAACAAATAAGCAAACCTTTCCGTCGAATTCGCGTCGTGCGGGTACGCTTTAAAAAATCCAGTTTTAAAATTGGCATCTCTCCAATGGCAACAACAGAACCGTCGGCAGTAGAGACCTACCTAGCAAGCGAATGAACGAACCCCGACGAGTGTACTTTCTCTCTTTCTCTCTTTAGTTGTGTATCCAACGTGAACAAAAAAAAAAAACACATAAAAAAAGCCCTAGATCTCGCGTGATCTGTGTATATGTATATATATGTGTGTGTGTGTGTGTGTGTGTGGTAGAGCCGCAGTCAACAAAAATTGCTCGCGACTCGAAGTTGCACCCACTCGAAATCGAGTGGATTACCCGTCGATGTCCCACCCTTTCCACCCACTTATTCCCTTCACCCTTCTCTTCCCTGACCCTCCTCTCTTTTCTCTCTTCCTCTCACTCTTCTCGTCGTCATAACCCCGTCCGTCGCGATGCACTGATTTTAACTGTCCAATTTTGTTTGTTTCTTCTTTTTTTTTTTACACCCGTTACAAAAATATTTTATCTCTCTCTCTCTCTCTCTCACACTCACTTTGTATACCCTGTCTATGAACAAACTTCCATATGAGATCACGTAAACCCTTGGATCAGAGATTTAACAACAAAATTTCTTTGTGAATGATTCAAAGAAATAAAATAAAGCAGATGATGACGATGAAGATGAAGAAGTAGATGATTATGATGAAGAAGAAGAAGAAGTAGATGATGACGATGAAAAAGAAGAAGTGAATGATGACGATGAGAAAGAAGAAGTAGATGATGATGATGATGTTGATGATGAAGAAGATGGTAAAAAAATGTTGTAAAAATAACAATAAAAAAAAGAGAGAAAGAAAAGGAAAGAGAGAGAGAGAGAGAGAGAGAGAGAGAGAAGGAAAAAGGAAGGACAGTTCTCGTAATACATTTTTAATTCCAGCAGGGCCGATCGTTGGTGCCAAGGCTCGATATCACTGACGGATCTGTGACGAGATATCGCATAGGCACATCTCGGTCGTTAAGCCTCGCGCTTTTTGCAAGATGACCAACGATCCCTATCAGTACAAATGAGCGCCATTTGCGCGTTCGCCCCTTGTGTGGATAGACGAACCATAGAGTCCTACTACCACCATCATCAACACCACCACCACAACCACCACTGTTGGGTTTACTTGCCTGCTTGCTTGCTTGCTTACTTGCTTACTTGCTTGCTTGCTTGCTTGCTTGCTTGCTTGCTTGCTTGCTTGCTTGCTTGTCTACCTGCCTATACTTTTTTTTTTCTTTTTTGTTTCTTTTTTCCCCTGTTTCTCTTTTCGTCCTATGAGAAAGCACCTAGTAGCACGTTCGGCACTGACCGCATTAGCGCAACGAATCGCGCCCTGTTTTTACATGAAAATCCTTATCTTCTACGCGGGGAGAATTAATAATGCAAGCATAAGCGATAATATCGCAACGGATAAAGAGAGAATATTTTTGCTTTCGCCGAATAAGTCGATTTTTCGTTTTTCTAGGATAAAACAAACGCAGAAAAAAAACACGAAGAAATACAAGAGTATATATAAAAAAGAAGAATTAGTAGAGTAATTACATATGAAAAGGGGTTGAAATAACAATTTGAAGAAACTTATGTGTAACATGATTTCTATATCTTTTAACATAAAATAACACAAAAGAAAAGAAACAAGAAAATAAAATGAAATAGAATAATTAAGTACGAAATGGTTGTAATAATTATTTGAAGAAACTTATGTGTTACTATTTTCGTATCTTCTAATAAAAGTAGTAACATAATTAACTAATATATTATATCTAATATAATTAATAAAACTATAATATATTATAGTATATTAATATAATACTATTACTAATAACTATACTATTACTATAATTATTTTTGTATCTTCTAATAAAAGTAATAACTTATAATTAACTATTATATTATATATAATATAATGAATAAAACTATAATATATTATAGTATATTAATACTATTAGTAATTACTATAGTATTACTATACTATTTTTGTATCTTCTTATAAAAGTAATAACACACACACAATTAACTATTATATTATATATAATATAATTAATATAACTATATAATAAATAAACTATTATATTATACACTTTACACTATAAACATATATAACTTTTTTTACACATATACATATATATACATACTAAAGAATTTAAATAATGATTTGAAGAAACTTATGTGTGACACGATTTCTATACTATTTTTGATTAATTATACAATCATTAAACGATATTTTTATACTTTTTCTTTTCTTTTGTGTATACACGTAATTGTAAAAGCTATGATAAATGTCGCTAATTGTTTGTCATGGTGGATTAAAGCCTATGAGAAACTAAAGACCGGAATCGGCACGCGAATAAGAATACACGATATATATTAACCGAGACCCCCCGACAATTTGCGCTTATTAATTCGAATTATCGCTGCCAAGTGGGTGTCCAACGGAGGATATTAAAACCTCTGACCTTTTTGTCAGGATGAGCTATACTAAACTTAGTCGATTGCATTTATATATCCCCCCTACCCTTCCCCATCTCTCTTTATCCTCTTTATATTCTTTTTTTTATATAATCAATTATTACATTCTATATTTTATACCATAAACATATGCAAGTATGTTTTATACATTATTACATATATATACAACAAAAAGCTTTGTTTATGATAAAATTGTATTCTACATTTTTAACCTAATTTTTCACGTAGAATCATCCCCCTTGTTGGACACCCTATACAGTTACATGTAAAAGTTAAAATAACTTATTATCTATTTGCTGTATATACGTACTCGTACTGATGACAGGTACTGCAAACTTTTTCAAAGAGAACTCCAATTTCTTCTTTTCATTTCAGAATCAGTTTCAACGTGTTGACACTGCACGAATTAACAAATTCCAATAATGACAAAATGTTTATCACGATAATGACAAAATTCTATACACATACACTATTACATAACACTACTTTTTCCTTTGAAATTCATTATTGCGATTGAACAAGAGAATTATTGAAATATTAATATAATATCGATTATAAAAGTTCTAACACGCATTATTCCCAACTCGTATTAATAAAATATATTTATCAGACGATAAAATTCACAAAGGTCAATACTAATTTCGCGAACACTCATTTGCAAAATTGTCTACTTGACTTGAACGAAATAAAATGGCTACCTCTTTGATGAATGTATCGATCGATAATCGAAATATGTATTAGATCTCGATTAAGATAAATTAGATCGAGCGTCTATTGAAGTGTTAGAAAAATCGATTAAGTAACGAGATGATAATAAAGATAATTAGAAGATACAAAACAACAAAATCATCTTAATATGATTATAAAGAGAAAATATATATTAAAACGATAATTACCTATATATATAATTATATATATATACATATATATCGAATGTTTACAATTAGTTAAAAAATCGTACCGTTAGCGCCATCGCTCGGAGTAAGCTTGAAACTATTGAGAAAATCCGCTTTTACCGACGTTGCGAATATCACATGGATATTCAGATATACATACTTCTCGTTTTACTCTCTCTCTCTCTATCCACCGCGACTACTATGATGATAATAATAATAATAATAATAATAACGACAACAGCAGCAGCGACAGATGCAGGACGTATTTGAATCTCCGCCCAGGAACGCCCTCGAAGAGGCTATTGGCCCGATATCCCTAGCCCAGGAAAAGGCTGCCATGGCCGGCGGAACTTGACGAACGGTCCAATCAGAACTCGTGTCGGTCAAAACAAAAGACACGCACAGAGTTCTCGAGAGGGTTGCAAGGCTGAACAAATGAATACCGGTGAACCCTCTAGGGGGTGTTGGAACAGTCGGGAGGTACGACGAAGAGGGTGGCGACAGAATCCGGCGTTTTTGATGTATTAAACCGTGGGCTCTACGTGACACCGAATGCTAACTAGGCCTTTGAAATGCCACACGCCGGATTCAAATCGCTAGAAGCGTCCTCTCGCTCATTCTCTCTTCTACTCTTCTTCTCCATCATTATTATTATTATTATTATTATTATTATCATTATTATTGTAAGTGTTATTCTATTTTTATTATTTTATTTTTTCTTCATATTAAATATTATATTATTGTTTAATCAATCACTTATCGTTATTTCCCTTTTTTATTTTTATTATTTGTTATCTGTAATATTATGACTGTGTTTTTGTATTATTTTATTATTTTTATCTTCTATATTGGATATTACGATTATTTTTTTTTTATTATATATATATATATTTATTATTATTTTAAATGTGTCATCATTTTGTTATTGTCCAATCCTGACAGTAGCCTTCGCCATATCACCGTTTCGTTGCACTCAATAAATTAGACGGCACCACTCGAGCGTGACCTCATAGAACATCTCTTTGATCGTTTCTTTTGATAAGATTCTTATCTACGCTTACATATGCTTTCCCATACATTATTCATTTTCATCCTACGTCATTTCGCTGTAAACGACCAAGACAGCACGTACAATAAAGCCGATGTCCTGGAATGTCTTCCGCTTTTAAAATCTTACTTTCTTATATTTATACTAAGATATTTAGTATAGTATATATACTGTAACAGAATAAATGTATATTACATTATATGACTGTATAAATATGTTAATGCAAAAAGATATATAGAAATATAATATATTGGGTTGGTAACTAAGTCATTGGTGATTTTAAAAGGCCACCTATCGACAAAATCCTCAATCATTTACTTGCCAACCCAATATATTAAAAAAATATTATTTTTTATAATTTTTAAATTGTAAATTTAACGCATTAATTATTACAAGTTTTACATATGATTTACCAACAATAAAATTATAATAATGGCTGTCACAAATGGCCATTATGGTTTCATTGATAGAATATAATTTTCAATGAAACGAATGACAAGTTTAATCGACTATTAAAAAATAAAAAATAAAAAAATAGAAAGAAATTATTCTCAACTACTTTTCTTTCTCGTCTCGATTAACGCCAAAGTCCCGGTCGTTAATATTTGTTTGTATTCTTTCTATTTGACTGATAATCGTCTCTCCTTTCCTCGAGACCTATAATTTCAAATCCTATAGGCTACTGACGTGGGTCAATTAGGGAGAACTCCAAAAGGCTTGGGCGACGGAACAGAATGACGGTTATGAGTTCATCAGGTTTTAGCTTCATTTTCAAATATTTCAAAAGTGTTAACTCACGTCCTGTCTGAATTTCCATCATCACTGCGTTTTCACCATTTCCCATCAGACCTACATTTATACAGATACATATATATATATATATATATTCAAAAACATATCAATATATAAATATAAGTTATTAACACTACATATACCAGACCAGTCATTTTAAATGGTCGGGCCATTTTAATTCAAAATTTCTACTTCATGTAATATTAGAGTTCTGTAAATAATTAAGCGTTTTGTTAATTAAAAATATCTATAAATCCATTTATCTATTAAAATTATTATTGTTAAACATTGTTTGTTATTTTTTAAGAGTAAATAAAGATTGGAAGCCGCAGAAAGCATTTTTTTATACACCAATCATTTTGACTAGTATAGTAGAAATAAATATACTGAAAATGGTGGTATATCTAGTGTTAATATTACTATATATACACTTTTAATTTATAATTATAATTAAATTCTTTATAAATTTACTATAAATAAAAAATATTACATAAATATGCATGATTTTTGAACAGTGTCAGTCATATTACTTGCATAAAATTTGCCACTTAAAAATAAAAAAGAAAAAGAAGAAGAAAAAGAAGAAGAAGAATAAAAAAGAAAATATTTTGTCAATCGCGTATTTCTCTATAAACGATGACACACAATCCATCGTTTCGTTGAACGTGACGAAATAAACGCCCTTGTAAGGACACTAGGTGTGAAAATCAATTTGATAGACGAGCGTACGCGTGCCGAATTACCTCTACGTGATGTCGACCCGTTTTGCCATTTTCGCCATTATATTAACGACGAGCTGCCGGCACGCTCTGGTCCGACCCCTCCCAGCCTATACGATATATGCTAGACTATATGCGTATCGTAAACGTTATCGAGGCGAATAATAGTAACATCACAATCCCATGCACGTCTTTGCATTCCGGTTAAAGCAAATGGAGATAGCAGCAGCAGCAGCAGCAGCAGCGACTATCCAACGTTGATTAAACTGTAACAGAAAATAAATGTTCATTTGTACAAAGTTTCATCTTTCTATAGAGTTATCACGATATATACTACCTATAAATAAATATAATATTTATTACATTCGCACGATTAATCTAACACATTATAATTGTTCAAATTACTCCAAATGTTTGCATCAACATTTTTAACATCAAAATAATCTACAGAACCTTTTTGTCACGGTTAATATTTATTTATTTAAATACAATAGGTGTGTGTGTTTTCCACGTTATATTATATTTATTAAACTGTAAAAATTAGAAATATATTCGTGACGAATAGAAAAAACCAAACCCGAGCGAGCAACTTCATTAAAAAGTTTGATTATCTAATGTTCGAAAGTGAGAAAAAATGTCGATTAATTTTTTTTTTTGTCTTCACACTCGATATAATCCTCAGTAAAGCAAGGCAATAATCCAAAAGCCTTCTGTCATTCGTCCATCCCGTAGGGTCCTGGAATTTCATCCGACGGATGAGACGGATTACAGCTCGTACCAAATTAACCTCTGTCTAGTCTGGGTTGCGTTACCCAAACCTTTTCGAACCGAATACGTCGAGTTTACACGAAAACTCACTCAACTGACCGCTGCGATAACGCGAAACTAAAACTATCTTTCGTCGTCAGGTGACACAACAGGTGTCCTGAGGTTTCCGATAGGAATCAGCAAAGATCTACCATTGACATCAATATAAGTTTCGTCTTCACTAAACAAAAAATATCAAAGATCATTTGATATAATAAAATAAATTCTAAGAAACAGAAATTAATTATTAAAATCGATCAGTTATTGAAAAAGTCATTTCTACAAAAATAATCCACTCTATTAACAATAAATAATAATTAATTTAAACATACATAAGTAAAAATAATTTATAAATTAATAATATAATAAAAGAACATTAATGCATACACACACAACAACAAAATTATTATAAAAATATATAAAATATTATAAAAGAAATAATAAAATTTTTTCAACAATAACAACAAGAAGAAGAAAAAAAAATGTCGATCTAACGATTATGGCTCATAGACAAAATGGCGTTTCGGACCCCCTTAAGGGGTGTTGCGCGTGTATATTCCAACCCTCGTACCAACCCCAACGTTCTAGGGGTGGAAAGCACGTAACGTTATGTAATCGTATACATGGCTAAGATTGTAGAGGGTTGTTGAAGCTTTGTCGCCTAGCCATGTGTCTCTAATACGAGTCCCATAGGGGGTCATTTCTATTCTATTTCACTTTCATGGGGTGTGTCGAGCGAGCCCTTACCTCACACCTAACTTCGTACAGCCCTTATCGTTTATGGTAAACGCATCACGAAGAGCCCGCAAGGGTGCTCTTTGCAGATTGACGTAAAATCAATGAACGAAGTCAATGGGTCTCTCGCTTGGTTATCCGGAACGAGAGGAAGAGTATTATAGGGGTTCTAACGTCTCCTCCTACCGTGAATAATGCGAGTGTTAATTACTTCACGCCATATTTCAACGACTACTATCGATGAAATAATCAACGACGTTCCTTGACTTTCTCTTACCAATTTTTGCTAACCTACAAACATAAGAACAAATATTGAATATTATTATTTAATGCAATACATATAAAAATAATAATTTTTATGTATCTATACAAAAAATATAATTACTTAATAAATACTTAAAGAGAATATTATAATATTGTAAATATTATAATATAATATAATTGGTATATATATGTAGTATAGATAAGAGTATAAAGTTATGTTGCATAATTATATTTATACTAATATTTTTTTTATTATAATAATATAGTAATAAAATGTTTAGGTGTATATAATTTTATTAAGTATATATTTATACAATATATACTGTAATATAATTATACTATATAGAATGAAACGAATAAAATATCCAATTTAAAAAAATAGAAGTATGAAACTAATGAAAGATATAAAATCAATTTTGCTTTAGTACCAACTTGAATAATAAAAAGCCTACATATATATAATATAGAAATAAAATCAAGGTATTCGAACGCTTAGGATATTTATAATCACCTTAGTTAGAAAAAAAAAAAGAAAGAAAAAAAAGAAACGCCAGCAATGACTGTCAATTTAGAAAGAAAGCACATGGAATAAATTTCGTCTGACAGAAGAAATTGTAGCGTAGACGAGTTTCTATGCCTTCTTTATTTATATCCAGGGCATATGTAATCGACACTCAGCTACCGTGAGAGGGAAATATGTGGTTAAGCCTTGGCCATCGGCTTTGAAAAGTCGAAGTCATCGTCGCTAACGAGTCGACGTACACACTCAACGTCTTTCTCTTCGCTGACGTCCTGTCCTTTCTACGACAATATCTCGACCTTCGCGACAGATATAGTATCATTCTTGTTAAGAATCTTCAAGCGAATCACGATATAGGTATCTCGTTACTTTGCACGTGTGATTTAATACCTGGAATGTGTATTCAATCATAAGATAGAAATATAAAAAACAAGAAAGAAAAAAGAATAAAGTAGAAATGTAAAAATAACTGTATAATAGATATTGGATACCGTAGTACACCCTTTCACCCTTTCCTAGAAAATAAACAACGATAGTTACCCTAACTTTCGTAAATGCGATAGAGATTTGTAACATTGAAAAGAGACCTGGCCGAGAAAAAATAAAAATAAAAAGATAGTTGAAATAAAACAAGTGGTATGCCAAGTTTAGAAACGTAGTAGTAGTAGTAGTTGCTTGCTAGTCGTACGGCGATTTCCGGTTGAACGTTGAGTTTTCAACGGGAAACGAAATAAAAATGACGGCGAAATGTTCTCTTCCGAACAGGTAATTCACGGCATTTCGCTTTTTCCATCCCCCCTTGTCCCATTACTCCGGACCCTTGTTCTATCCTCAGCAGACGAGTAACAACAACGGCATCCCCATCAACAACCTACCACTACTACCAATACCACCACCACCACCAGCACCACCACGACCATCAACAACCACCCCCCCCCAACCCGTTTGCTCGTTCGCCGCCGTTGTCGCTGCTGCCGTCGTCGTCGTCGAACGGATTGCTTTTTGTTTCGTACCTTCGTGCCTCTCGTCCTTTGTTTCCGCGAGTCGCCGCGAGGAAATGACAAACAAATGAGCGAGCGCAAGGGTGTAAAACGTCGACGTCCGTCGCCATGGCAATGTGATGTGACGATCGACGTTTTAAACTCCACCGTTCGTTTCCGAGAAATACGTTCACCGCCTGTACGGTACGAAGAGAGACCAACCGATAAAAATCCAATGCCGATGATCGAATTTTCTTCCTACTGAATCCTCTCTGAAACACATATCTACATATGTATAGTATATATAGTATATGTAAATTAAATATCGTTAGTGAATAATTTATAAAACTTATTTCAACAAAATCTTTACAATTTTATATTTCAAACAAATTCTATATAAATCAAATGAGAGATCATTTTATTATCAAATACGAAAAATAAATATACATACATATATATATATATATTGGGTTGACAAGAAAGTAATTTCGGCTTGCACCAATAGATAAAGTTATGTTTGTTTCGTTATTATTTTGTTAAAGTTAGAATTTTGTTCTTTTAAGGTTTGGTAGTTGACACTTTTAGGTTGCTATAGAAACAAATTCCGTGTAATTTTGTTTACAACTTTTAGTTTTAGAAACAATTGAGTTTTACTTCACATTACAAAATCGAAATTACTTTCTTGCCAACCTAATATATGTATTTACTTAAATAGTATATATATAAGTTTTGTTTTTCGTAGAAGAACATAAAATGGCTTCCACCACCATTATTATTCTCCACGTTAATATGTATATCTTAATGGCGTATAGGGGTTTAACTACACGAGCATCAGAACGATCGTGTATGTGTCATTCGAAAGGAACTCAAAAGCATAGTAACATTTTTCCTCGATGGACTTGGTAACTATCGATTGTGTTTCAAAGTCGATTGTGTCTCCATTATGTGAACGAGAGGGCGAAATAAAGAAAAGAGGGTGGAAAGAAAGAGAGAAAGGGGAGAAAACGACCAAGCGAATATGTTCGAAGAAGAGTGGAAAAAGAGAGAGAGAGAGAGAGGATGCCCCTAAAGTACGGGCGGTCCAATTGACTCCACCATATTGAGTTTGGTTCTATGGGCTCTCTGTACATGGGGCTCTTGGAATCGAGACACGTTATACGAAAGGTCCATCCCTGGAAGGAGCTTCCACAGCTTAACTTCGTTACCAGGTTTCTACGTGACCAAAATCCTAGCAGCAACGATTCTCTCATACAGATACCAACGTTACGTTTTAGACGTAACGTATAAATAAGATCACTTCTCTCAGCAATAGTAAACTCTGCTGCTCGCCTAAATCCATCGTTGAGTTTTAAAGTCTTCATTGAAAATCAACGTTTGAAAATATCCCAAACAATCTTCCAAAGTTTCATTTATTTTATTATTCTATGTCCTGTAAAATAATATTCATAAGATATGCCTATTTTAAATAAGTAATTTTCTAACATATATATACAGTAACAATTTCACTCAGAGGATCACAGGGTCTCGACAAAACTTCTATAGGATTTTCGTTCACGATATGTATCAAATTATCCTTATAATAGAATATGGCGGCAACATTACACCTACCAGGTGTCGCATTAGGCACCTTTTGAATGATCCAAGCTACGAGAACAACACAATGAATTATAATGCGTCCTTGCCACGGACAATAATGTTACCACAATGCTGTTCCATGCTACAAAAGGTGTTGCTTTAATGGGAATCTGGTTACAACGAGGCGTTCTAAAGCATCACCGACGATTTTCCCGTACCCGTAAACAGTTTCTTCGACGAAACTTTTATCGTCATCGAAAAGAAAAAAATACGCCCGGGTTTTTTTTTTCTTTCTGTATAAGGTCAAAAAAACTTATTTCTCTGAATACGAATATTATTTGTCAAAACGTTGGATCGTTTTAAATGATAATAGAATGAAACAATTGTATATAAGCTAATTAAATATAAAGTAATTCTCACATATTTTTCAAAACAACAATTTATACAAAAATAATTTTACAATTTCTTCATTCTAATCGTATATTAATCTATACAGTATAAAGATACATGTTCCGTCGGATCTAAATCAATCACAGAAAAGTATATGTCATACCTAAAATATAAATAAAAATTCTAGACAAACAAATGAACGTAATTAAATACAATTGTAGATACAAGTTAAACTTACCTTAGCATAACAGTTAAAAGTATAACAAATTCACAAGTATAAAAGAGCAAAGACCGTTAAAGGTATGCCCATCTCTCCCATTGGTTTGCAGTAAAGCAAAGTTGCACTTTAAGGCAGTACGTTGGGGCGCAAATCAAAATGCAGTCGCTACCGGAAGAGTACTTGAACATTTGAAGAGCCCTTCGCTATTACTGTGAAGGACTTCCCAGTGCTTGGCGAATCAGTCACTAATTGCATTCGTGACATGGCCCAGAACTAACAAACGTTCCCTTCGTTCCTGAAGGATCAAAATGATTTTTTTTTTCTCTTTCATTCCATTCTTTTCTTGTTCATTTTCTTTCTCTTTTACAAGTTCATTCGCCTGAGATAAAGAAAATTGAATAATTCTCAATAACATTTTCAAAAAAGATGCGAATATATTATACCAACGTATAAATAATAAATTATATATTTAAAAATAATAAAGTAAGATAATAAAGGCATGTTTTTTCTTCAATGAAACATTGAATAGATACAGTTGAGCTAGAGCTTTACCCTATTATACTAATGGGTGATAATCATAAGATTCTCCTTGAGAGTCTCATTACGAATCAAGGACCCCTTTCTTAATGGCTCCTATGAAACTCATTGGCCATTTAACGCCGAGGACACGCCGTTAAGCGTTGAAAGGTTGACGGGCCCGAGAGCAAATTTTCTCATCAATCATTCAGCTGTCAATTGCGAATAAGATAAAGTAGAATCAAATTAGTTATCTCATAGTACAATATAAAATATTTCATAGCTATTCTGTTGCAAGGAATTTATATGATCTTTTTGATAAATAAATATTTAAATGTGAATGTTTTTTTGTTCTTTTTCTTTTTTTTCCTTTTTTTTTTTTTTTTTTTTTTTTTTTTATTATTGAAACATTATCAAATGATACCATTAAACGATCGCAATTTCATCGTACTTTCATTCAATATCGTATTTTCATTATCGATATTGGACACGCAATACACGGACGAATTTTAACAATGGCAGACACACCATACTTGCCTACGTACGCTCGACACCCCTTATACATTCCCCTTGCGGAAACGCGACGTCTCCATGGTTACAACATTGAAACTCCACTAGGGGATGACAAAATGGAGAGGCGCAATACTCGGTCCGACAAAAGCGAAGTAGATCCAAAGAACGTCGGCGTACTTGTGTTTGAAAAGTCGATCTATACCTATATATATATCGACTCGCATAATCCAGCTTTACGATGAACTTTTATACTCTGATTAAAACTGTTCTTGGCGAATCTGGAAAAGTAATCTCTTAAGTCTAGATGGAAACTTAACAAAGAAACACCCTTCCTCCTAATGCACCTCCAAAAAAAAAAGAAACAAAAGAAAGAAATTATTGAAAAAAAAAAAATAATAATAAACTAACTAACATAAGTTTAGAATAAAATTATCTGTGTACATACAAAAATAGCAGCTGATGATCTTAATATAGTACTCAAAATGATTTATCTCGTTTGGTAAACTTCAACGGTACCCGCATTGACGTTATCTGTCATCGAAATTTCTTCCTAAGTATTGTCAAATGCAATCTTTCGGATCTAAGAAAAGGTTTTCAAGTGTGGGAGAAATATTTCCAACGATGGTATCTTCAAACTTGACAAAATTGTATTTATTGTAACTACCATACGTAATAACGTAGTCTTCTTTATAATGGAAAAGAAAAAAAAACAAATCTTATCTGACCTAAAATGAAATCTAAATTATAATTTAATGTACCGTATTATTCAAAGATATCTACATAATAGATATTCCATTTGGTTTTTAAATGAATACAGGCACTGAAAGTATATAATGTAAATCCGATACACGTGATTCGAATAAAAACTGATAAAAGGAAGAAATTTGTAAGTCCCATAAAAATGTAAAGAATCTAAAATATGTATATGTAGATGGAAGTAATGAAAAATAAGAAAGCTAAAAAGATGAGCAAGAAATAGGATGATCGATCGTAAATAATAAATAAAGAAGGATCGACGCGGAAATAAATATAAAATATAATACGTGATTAAAATATAAACTGATAAAAGAATATTTAGAAATAAAAATGACAAGAATCTTTAACGAAACGATATAAATATATAAATATTATAACTAATGCTAATGCAACTTTATAGGGAATTAATTTTTATGTATGTAATTATACATTGCAAGGACAATAATCTCTAGTAGCACAAAATATTGAATATATGTGTATTTAATATTAAAAAGACATTGAATCTCTTTTTTTAATATTAAATATTAATTTAAGTATTGTATTGTAATAAGTATTGTATAAGTATTGTATGTATTAAATAAGTATGTATTAATTTAAGTATTGTATTGTAATAAATATATAATTGAAGTAATTAAATTAAGTACTAATACATGTGTATTTAATATTAAAAAAACATTGAATTTCTTTTTAATACTAAATACATATGTATTCAATATTTTGTACTACTAGGGATTATTTTATAAAATATTGTGATCGGTTGCATTGCAAACAAAAAAAAAGAAAACACTCTTTCATAAAATACATAAAATTATAAAGAAATTTTGGTTCACACTTAAAACTATAGTTTCTTTTTTTTTTACTTTAAAATGACGTCATAAACATTCATCTAATTAATCTTAAAATTGTTCTTTTCTTGCCATTTTGATTTGCGCTAAATTAAATAAGATAAAATTTAATGAAAAGAAAAAAAGAAAGAAAAAGGTAGATCGATCGTAAACAATAAACAAAGAAGGATCGGCAGACAAAATGGCGACCTAATATACCGGAGACTAATCCCAGATGAGACGAGGGATGCGATGGCAGAAAACGGAAGAGGATGATGGCGTCGGGGTGAGGTGGGGTGAGGGTACAAGGTGGAAGCGGGAGACGCATCTCTCGGATTACGTCTTAACAAGCTCCACGACGTTCATTTGTCTTATCCGCTGTCGCTAATGCGACAGCAGCTGTTGAAATGATTAATTCACCGCGGGGATGCATCCTCACTTCGTGCTTTCCTGCGACTTGCAGCATTCACTAACATCACTAACCATCTCGCTTGACGACTTTGTGTTTTGATTTGACTACGATTAATTAGACACCCTGCAATATATTAAATACATAATTATTTTTAATACTTATACATATTTCTATGTATTTACATATATCAATATATTTGTCTGGAAGTTTTACTTTAATCCAAAATTTGTATCACAAACTTTGTGATATTATTTATTATTATTTTATTATTATAATATATATATATATATATATATATAATAAATTTATCTACTAACTAAATACAACTCTTATATTGTTCATGTAAACTATTACAAATTTCAATATTACTTATTGATCACCTTGATAAAGTAA